GCCAACCCAGTTTCTTTATTCATTAACCAATAAAAGCAACACATAGACAGAAGGACCTACCACACCAAGTCAGAAATTATTTTAGATTTTTTTGTTTTGTTTTGTTTTTTTCAAGACAGGGTTTCTCTGTGGCTTTGGAGCCTGTCCTGGAACTAGCTCTGTAGACCAGGCTGGTCTCGACCTCACAGAGATCTGCCTGCCTCTGCCTCCCGAGTGCTGGGATTAAAGGCATGCGCCACCACCCGCCCGGCAGATTTTTTTTTTTTTTGCTTGTTTTTCAAGACAGGGATTTTCTGTGTATCTTTGGCTGTCCTGGAACTCACTCTATAGATCAGGCTGGTCTCAAACTTACAGATCTGTCTGCCTCTGCCTGCCAAGTGCTGGGATTAAAGGCATGCGCCACCACGCCTGGTTTTATTATTTTAGATTTTTTCATTGTTTTTGTTTGTTTTTAAGTTCACTCACCCATCAACCATCTCTGACATTGAATAATAATTACTCTTGTGCATGTGGGAAGCACAGCTCACTCTCCAGCACCACAAACAAAAACATCATATTGTTATAAATTGTTTTCCTTTTCAAGATTTATTTTATTTTTATGTGTATGTGTTTCGCTACATTCATGTGCATCACATGTGTGAAGTAAGTAGCCCCAGAAGCTAGAAGAGGATGCTGGGTTCCCCGAAACTAGAGCAACAATGGTTGTAAGTCATCATGTGAGTGCTGGAAACTAAACTCAGGTTCTCTGCAAGAGCAGCAAGTGCTCTTCACCACCAGGCCATCTCCCTAGCCCAGGTACACATGGTTATTAATACATCATTTCCATATGCTTTGTGATATCATCTCACAATGAGTCCTCAATTATTCTCTCTTTGTTTTCTGTATCTGCTAAAACCACTACTACACTGACAATATCAATGTTACTAAATCTAAAATAATTCAAGCCAGGACTGGTGGCACATGCTTTAAATCTCAGCACTCAGGAGGCAGAGGCAGGCAGATCTCTGTGAGTTCAAGTCCAGTCTGTTATACACAGTGAATTTCAGGACAGTCAGAGCTAAGGAAAGAGAACCTGTCCCCCCCCCTCCCCAAAAAAAAAAAAAAAACTTGAATCTTTCCCTTATTTCTATAATTGTAAATGTAGAAATGAAATGCTAATATTGTTGTGATGGACCATTTCCAACCACAGCAGTCAGACACATGAAAAAGGATTAAGGCACAACAAGGCTTCTTTTTTGAGTATGAAGATACGAGGACAAAGTATAGCTCTGGGATAGAGCACATTCCTAGTTACAATCCCAGTTTCAATCCCCAAGACTGCAAATAGCCAATACAGTAGTAAGAACCCAGGGAAAGGAGGATCTTTCTGAGATTTCCTGAGCAGTACAGTGGAACTCACAAGCTTTTATACTAATGAGAAAAGCAACTTCAAAAATATATGAATTCTCAGTTTTAGCTAACTGTAGGGACTGCTGCCCGTGCCAGGGTAACACAGTGCTGTCCACCTGGAACACTGTAAGAACACGTTGGTTCTAGCTCTAAAATGACTCCGGAAGTTGCACCTTAGTCCACACTCCCGGTCATCATCACCTCTCCCTCTAAAGGGAGCAGAGTAGGTGTTCAGCCCACAACTATTCTATCTAAACCACTAAAGGGGTAGAAATTTTAGAATAACCACATGGTTCCACTGCTGTTTCAGTCTTGTCCATTGACACTGGACATGGACATGGAACATACAGGCAACAGTTCTATTTTTCTAAGGGAACAATTAAATCAGTAAATATTAAGTGTCAAGTCATGTACAACTGCTACCATGGGCAAAATAAATTCCCTGAAACTTCAATAAAAATACATGGACTTATCTAGAGCATGGATGCCCTAAACCTGTTTTTGTTTTGTTTTGATTTAATTTGTTGCTATTGTTTTGAGTTTTTGATGTAGGTTTCTCTGTGTAGCCTCGCTGTCCTGGACCTTGCTCTGTACACCAGGTTGTCCTCAAACTCAGTGATCCACCTGCCTCTGCCTCCCGAGCACTAGGAGAACCTAGCTATGTTTGTATTTTTTAAATAAATAAATAAATCATTGGAAGCTGGGCATGATGACTCACACCTATAATCCTAGCATTTGGAGGAATGAGGAAGACAATTCACCGCCAGCTGGGATTAGGCATCAAGACTGACCCTGTCTCAAGAGAAATACAGAGAGAACTGAGTCCCCAGCATGATGACTCACACCTATACTCACATACCAAGTTCCAGGACCCTATATGTCAAACTTCTTCTTCTTCTTCTTTTTTTTTTTTTTTTTGGTTTTTCGAGACAGGGTTTCTCTGTAGCTTTGGTGCCTGTCCCGGAACTAGCTCTTGTAGACCAGGCTGGCCTCGAACTCACAGAGATCCGCCTGCCTCTCCCTCCCAAGTCCTGGGATTAAAGGCGTGCGCCACCACTGCCTGGCCCCTATGTCAAACAAAACAAAAACCTTACTAATATTATTTCCACTTCCAGAATGAAGCATCATAATTTTAAAGTGCCAGGTTTGCATTTCTTCCAGAACAATCTGATAATTACCACTTTGTTCCAAATTCAGGGAAGAACCAACATTACTTCTTTCACTATTAGTTCCCCTGAATGATAACCTAGAACAAGAAGTAAAAATGCCTCAGTGAGACAGCTATAACTCCTCCACGACTCGATGCACCTCTTTTTAAAGGAGGATGATGTGGCAGCAGGACGGCTCAGTACAGAAAGAGCATCACAGTCAGGCGTCAGTGGTGCAAATCTATAATCCCAGCACTTGAGAGGCAGGGGCAGGCGGATCTCAGTGAGTTCAAGGCCAGCCAGGTCCACAGAGCAGAGCAAGTTCCAGGACAGCCAGGGCTACACAGAGAAACCCTGTCTCAAAAAAATAAAAAGGAAAAGAAAAAAAAAAAAAGAGCTTGTCACACAAGCCTGACTCCTGACTACCTAAATTTAATCCCCAGATCCCAAACTCAAAGTTGTCTTCTGAAATCTGCACATGTGCTGTGTGTCTGTTATTTTTTAATTGGAGGTTTTAAAAAAATGACATTTAAAATCAAAAAGACAAACCAGTACTGAAGAGAAAAAAACAGTAAGACTATTTAGAGGCTGGATGTGGAAGAAGGCGGAAGTGCACCTTCTTAGCATGCACAACACAGAGATAAGTCCCCAAAATCAAACAAATTAAAGAACACTATTTAATATAGGCTGTAGGCAGAAGTAACTGAGAGGTCAGGATATGGAGCCAGCATGCCTAGTTTACTACCTGACTAATCTTTAGCAAGTTTTTAAAATCTGTGCCCTATTTTCCTCTCCAATTCAATGGGAATAATAACAGTAAGTATCTCAAAATTGTTAAAGATTAAATGAGTTAAATTATGTGAAGCAGTTAAAATATGACACTTTCACCAAACAGAAAAAAAAATCCAAAGTTTTGATAACACTGTTTGATAACACTGATAAAGAGGCTACTGGAAAAAGCTACTCCATACATTAGTTATAACAAGCCTTGGGAAGGAAATGTTTCTACATCTCAGCTTTTTAATTTACCCCACTGATATATTTGTACAGGTGAGAGAAGGCTAGTACACCATGCACTGGGTTTTTATTTTGTACTAGAACTCTTCATGCCCATCAAATGAATTAAATTAAGAGCAGAAAATTCATGGACATTGTGTAGCAGTTTTTACAAAATGGAATCAGGAAACTGATCTACTGATATGAAAGACATCAAAGTGAAGACAGCAAGATGTAAAACAATGTTACCTTTTGGATGAAAGGAAACAGCAAAAGTAGGAAACAACATTTATTGTTGCTTGCTTCGCACTAGAAACACTCAGCCAAGGGAAGGGACTGGCAGACAAGAGACCAGAAAGGAGGGAAACTTCCAACGGTCTCTTTAATATATTTTGGCTTATATATTCAATAATATATAAATATTAAAACGCTAAAAGTGAAGCAAAAAAAATTCAACGTCTAATTGCTGGCCCTGATTTTATTTGCAAGTTCTTACTATCTCCTTCTAAATCCTTTTTCTTAATCCTTCTGCTCAGAAACCTCTTCCCCGGCCACTAAATTCTTGACTATTTAAGGAATTTATCACTAACGACTGTAGTGTAAGTGGATTAAGACATAGGTGCCAACACCAGGTGTACTGCACATATCAAAAAACGCATGCGTTTGTCAAAGATGCATGTGTTGAGTGTCTCCTTCAGACGGATGCTGTCATATTAATGATCAAGGTGCCCTTAACTAGATAAGATCTAGCACTTAACTCCTAATTCAATCGGCGATTTCTTCCTTCTCCGGCTGTGAGGGATATTCTACATCTGACTGCTCGGGAGCCCAAACCTCGATGTCACTCCAGCACACCAAATACTCTACTGACAGCTCAACAGTCCCTTTTTATGCAAGCCCCTCCCCTTCCCTCCTCCCTCAACTCCCGTCATCTCCAGAGCTCAGTCCTTCAGACAGACACACAGACGGTTCAGCTTTTCCCCCAAGGGTCCTTCCTTGCAGCACAAGACCATCTCCCTGGCCCTCATCATCAGGTGACCCAATTCAGATCCCGAACCACTCCCAGTCAATCCAAATCACTTCTAAGGCTCTTCTCCGGAACCCGACAGGCAGCTGGACAGCCTTTCCCCAACAAGTACACAACTGACAGCTCCACGCCAGGTTCCCCCAAGTATCCGCTCGTCTTCCTTGCCCTCTCGCCCCACGCACTGACTCCTGTCTACCCCATCACTCGCCCACCCTGACCTCCTCGAAAATCACCAGCCCGATTCCCCGCACATGCTGCTCTCCTATCCTCCCCACCCCCTTCCCACCAGTGACAGCTCAGTCACCTCCAGCCCCTTGGGTCTGCGCCCTCACCGAAACATCCCCCGATCGATGGGGGTCAGCTCCCAGATTTCCCCTTAGGCCTCCTCCCGACCCCGCAGGACCACACGGCCCGGGTCGCCTCACCGGGGCTCCACTCACCCACTCTCCCGCATTACGTTGCTGTCCCCGCAATCGCAAGCGCCCCCGGCCTGGCTGCGGAACATGTTGAAGTCGTGTCCGGTGTGGTCGCCCTGGTGGAAGCACTCGGCGCACAGCGACATGCAAGGGGAGATGCCGCACGTCCGGCAGCGGTAGGCCACGAAGTTGGCTGTCCAGACCAGGCCGCAGAGCGCCGCGGGGTCGTAGGCCCGCACGGCCGCGCAGAACTCATCGTAGCCGCCGCCGCCGGCCAGAAGGCACTTACACCACTCCAGGGCATCCTCCTCGGCCGCGCCGGGGCCGCCGCCGCCCGCCGCCTCCTCGCCGCCCGCAGCCCCCGCCAGCGGCCGCTCTGCGTTCAGCACCCGCTCCAGCAGCGCCTGCAGCTCCTCGGCGCCTGCACGGTTGTCCGGCCGGCTGAGAGCGGCCTTCAGATGCGCGGCCGTGGCCGCCTTGTCTAGGGCCGGCCCCTGCTCGGGCACCTCCGACTGGGCCGGCTGCGGCCCCCCGACGGCCGCCGCGGCCGCCGCCGCCATGATGAGAGCTCAGAATTTGGAGAGTCCAGAGCCCACGGCTCCTCCCGGGAGGGTGGGGGAACTGACGGCTGCGAGGCCCCGGTCCGCCCAACTCTCGCGATATATCCGGCACCGCGGAACACCTCCGCGCGCTCCCCGCCCCTCGTCGGGCTCCGCCCCCTCTCCGGTTCGGGGGTCCCGTTTCTGTTTTCCCTCCCAACCTGTTGGCCCTACTCTCGAAACTGACAACTACTTACACGGGAACTCGGCCCAAAGGCCATCTTTAGTAACAGTGGGCTTTTCTTTATTTGCCTGGAACATAGGAATTATACACATCTACCAGATGTATTTTAGGCATCTGTATCTGGGCTTCAGATGTTGATCCCTGGTACCAGTCTTAATTACTGCTGGATTCCTGCTATTATTAAAACTGCCTGCTAAATATTTCGCTGAGTCAGTTTTCAGCCTCACACTTCTTCCATGTGAATCTCCTAAGATACATTCTTTTTTTTAAAAAAAAGTAAGATATATTCTTACTGTGTTTTTTATATTCCATTCAATTTATTTGAATAGGGGCTCTCTGATGCCGGTGTGGTGGTCAGAGAACAGCTTGTGGGAGTTGGTTCTTGCTCCTTCCATTATGTAGTTTCCTGGGGATTGAACTCAAGTTCTCAGGCTTGGCAGCAGGCAATTTTCCTTGCTGAGCCGGGTCTTGTTATCTCTTACCCAAACTCTTGGAGAAAAACCAAGCTCCTTAAATTGTCTCTGAAACGTGTCAACATCACTATTTCTCACTGTCTGGAGCAGAGACAGACAGAAGACGACCACTGGAACCTGATCACTGCATCAGGAGGGTTTTGGTTAGGTTGGTTGGTTTGCTCATTTGCTTTAAGAGGATATCTTCCGTGGTACCACTGGCCTCAAGCATTCTACATAGCCTAGGATGACCTTGAACTCCGACCTTCATCTCCCAGGTGCTGGAATTAATGCTCTGCCTGGTTTGTACAATAACAGGGACTGAACCCAGAGCCTCGTGGGGTGCTACATAAGCACTATAACAACTGAGCCACACCCCCCAGCTCTCGTTTAATTTAGTGGGGGTTGCTGGACAGATGGGTCAGTGGTTAAGACCCAGATTTGATTCCCAATGCCCAGAGAGAGAACAGCTCACAACTGTCTTTAACTCCAGTTTCAGGAAACTCAAAGGCCTCTTCTGGGCTCTATGGGCACCAGGCATGCACAGAAATACATGCAGGCAAACCGCCCATACATAAAAACTTTTTAAATAGAAAATAAAAGGTTATGGTTTATTTGATAACTGTTTTGAGCAGAAAATTTTTATCCCCACCACATTACTGTTAATTGGTCGTTTTCCTGTGGTTTTAAAGGTTGGAATGGGTTGTTTGTTCTGAAGCAACATGTAGCCCAGGCTACCCTCAAACCAGAGCCTCCTCCTGCCTTAGTGCCAGGATTGCAAGCTTGTTCCTCCACTCCAACTGGTAAACTTCTCAAGGGCAAAGAATTAGTCTTTATCACTGCTGGCAAACAGTCAAACATCTGTCTGATATTGCTAAATAATGGGAAATAATTCCAATCAGCAACACATTTCTAGACTTTCTAGTGCCTACCAGCTCTTTGATGGTCTTTCTTCTAACCTGTTTAATAAGCCTGTTAAGTGGCAGTAGAAGAAACAAAATTTTAAGTAGTTCATATGCCCAAAAACACACAGCAGGCAGGATATCTGTTGTGTTCCCAGTACTTGCCTCAGGCGTCCCCGGGAGCAACTGACTGCAACCTGGCAGACATCTGGTAAAATAATTGGTTGCTGTTGTGGGGTATTTACCAGAGAAGACTACTTGAACATGGGCTTAAGCCCATGGAAAGTCTTTATTAGCTGGTTGGCAACCACACTGAGTGTTTGGGATCCCACTGTAGCCCCGAGCCTTTGTCAGGAGCGCAAAAACCATGTTCTGGGTTGGCATACTTCAGTTAACAAACACAGCCAGAGCAGAACTACAAAAGTCAAAAAGTGAGGTTAATACATTTAGAGACTTTCCCATAACCATGGCCTTTGATGGATTAGGTCTTTGTTTTCATTTTTGGCAAGTGGTGCTGTCTACGTGCTGAAGTTTACAGCCTGAATGGCACTTCCACCATGGAGTCAGTTGCGCTAAGACTGTGTTACACAGTGTGAACAAGGCATCTAGAAATCTTTGGCCTTTGACGGATTCAGATAAAGAACAACATTCCCTAGGAATATGTTTAAGGAATGGGGCTGGGGCATGCAATGATATTAGATGATAACAAACAGACAAAACTCCCGAGAACTACATATGTACCTTCACAATGTCTTGAGGAGAGGACTGCAGAGGAGTTAATGTAGGCCAGATTGTAAACACACTGTCATGCTTTTTGCCCAAAAATATTCTAAAACAGGAGCTGAGAAACTTACTAAAAATGCTCTTGTTTCAATATTAAACAAATGAGAGAACAGCAGAAAGTACAGCTGCAAGGTCTAAAAGACTCGGTTGTTTCCAAAGGAAAAAAAAAACCGACCCCCCCCCCCATCCACAGTGGCAACTGACGTAATCCCAGCACTTCAGAAAAAAAAAAAGTCGGGAAGGTCAGATGTTCAAGGTCATCCTTAGCCACACAGGGAATTCAAGGCCACCCTAGGCTACCTGAGGACCCATCTCAAAACTAAATGATGAAGCCAGACACGATGGTGTACACCGATACTCCCAGATGCTCCAGACATCTCTCTTACCAGGTACAGGTCTCTCTCTTGCCTTTATCGTCTCTTGCTCTCTTCTTCTGTCTCTTGCTCCTCTTGCTTACTGTCTGTCTGTCTGTCTGTCTGCCTGCCTGACTGACTACCTGCCCCTCTCATGTCCCCCACTCCCAGAATGCCTTTCACTGTTCCGCACTCCTTTCCCCCTTTCATCAATAAACCTCTTGCACTAACTCTCTTGCCAGCGGCATGTTCCCCCAGTGGCATACCTTGGCAGGGCCCACCTAAAAGTACCCAATTCGCCTTTTAAAAAAATCCTTCAGGCCTTAGGAGTTTGAGGCTAGCCTAGACAACATAGCAAAACCCCAAGAAACAAAACAAAATGAAAAAAAAAAAGTTAGGCAATAATTAATGTTGAAAGAAAAAACTGAAAACTTTTGCTCCCAGTTTAACAAGTTCTATCACTTTTCTTTCATTTGATACCACAACCATATTCTTTATTTTGTGTGTGTGTGTAGCCCTGGCTGGCCTGGAGCTCTCTCTCTCTCTGTTAACCAGGCTGGTCTTGAACTCACAGATATCCTCCTGGGACTAAAATGTATGTATGCTACCCATGCAGACATATTTCTTTTCTTTTAAATGTGTCTACAGTGTTCTGCCTACATGACAGAAGGGGGCACCAGATATCATTATAGGTGGATGTGAGCCACCATGTGGTTTGTGGGAATCAAACTCAGGACCTCTGAAAGAACAGCCAATGCTCTTAACCTCTGAGCCATCTCTCCAGCCCCATGGTCTTTTCTTTTAAACTCTCTTTTGACTTTTCTTTTCTTCTGGCTTCACTAGCATCACTAACTGCGATGCCGGGCTGGAGAGATGGCTCAGAGATTAAGAGCATGGGCTGCTCTTCCAGGGGTCCTGAGTTCAATTCCCAGCAGCCACCTATAATTAGATTTGGTGCCCTCTTCTGGCATTCAGGCATACATGTAGGCAGAAGACTGTATACATAACAAATAAGGAGGTAGGGAGGGAGTGAGGGAGGAAGGAAGACGGTGCCTTAGAAGAGGGACGCGAAGTTAAAGCCGAGCATTCGAATGGAGAAGAACTCCGAAGTGGGTGTAGATCGCTACTTTCTGAAACTTGGGAGAAAGAGAAAAGGTTGCATTGCCCCAGAGTCCTTTATCGCCTTCAATTCTTTCTCTCAAGCTTTGGACGGCTACAGGTACTCAAGACAAAGTTGGCGATCCTGGGGGCCGTCTCGATTGGTTTGTAACGCGACACGTTGGGCGCTTCTTCCGACGTCTCCCAAACGGACCAAAATGCACTCGAGTTCTAGGCGGAACCCTAGCGCCTGGCCGAGGTTGCCGCTCGGCTCCAGCAGCGTGTGCGCGTGCGCATTGGCGCTTCCGGCGCTGCGGGGAGGGCCCGCGAGATTCGTCAGATTGCTTAGTCCTGCGTCCCGAAGCGGCGGTCTCCGCGAGATTCCCAATGAATCCTCAATAGTCTGCCCGCTCCCGGCCTGCACCACTAGAGAGGTTCCGGGTTAGGTAGTTTCCCTGCAGATCCTGTGCTGTTAAACCCTGGGAGCCCAAACTAAAATAAAAACAATGAAGAAGTTGAGGCTTAAGGAACTAGAGAGTCGTCTGCAGGAAGTGGATGGATTCGAAAATCCCAAATTACTTCTAGAACAGTACCCCACCAGGCCGCACATTGCAGGTAGGGCAGCTGGTTCATCGGGCTCTCTTCTGGGGTTATTCCTGTCCAGTCCATGATGAAAATAAATAGTGATTTGGATCTAATGATGTTCTAGAGAAACCTCACACCTTTGAGTAGGTGCTGCTCTACTAAAAACCAGAGTTACATACAAGCTTGTGTAAAGTTGAGGATGCGTTTTCATTGTTCACAAATTGCCTCTTGCTTGATGCCAAATATTGATACTGAGAATGTAGAAGAGGGCTGGAGAGGTGGCTCAGAGGTTAAGAGCACTGACTGTTCTTCCAGAGGTCCTGAGTTCAATTCCCAGCAACCACATGGTGGCTCACAACAATCTGTAATGAGATCTGGTGCCCTCTACTGGCCTATAGAATATATGTAGGCAGAGTACTACATACATAATAAAAAAAAAAAAAAACTTTAAAAAAAAAGAGAGTGTAGAAGAGAATACAGGAGAATCCATTCATATGTAGCACCTGTTACGTAGTAGCAGGGAAGACAGCAAAATTTCTTTGGTTGGGAGTACCTGCAAGGGGTAATCTTTTTCAATTCCAAAGTAGCAATTTGTGAGCTGCCAATAAAACTCGTGGAGAAAACATGTGTTTAACCCTAAAATATTGTCATAGCTGCAACCAAAGATTTGCATTAAACTGTGTTCAGATTAAGACCAGTTTTCTCTATTATATATTAGTATGTGTATGTTCATGTGTCTGCGTGTGTGGAGGGCAGAGTTCATCATGGAGTGTTTTCCTCAATTGCTCTCCGTAAGTTTTTTGAGTCGGGGTCATACTGTACTAAGAGTTTACCCATTCGCCTAAAAAGGCTGACCAGCAAGCCTCAGAGATCGTCCTGTCTTGTCTCCAGTGCTGGGTTTATAATCACGCAGCACCGCACCTGGCCTTTTACATGACTGCTGCGGATCTGAACTCAGGTCCTAATGCTTGCAGAGTAAGTGCGGTACAGACTGAGCCAGTCACCTACCAAGCAAGCCCCTGGCTTTCTCAGTGTAACTTATTACAGCCTTCTGGTTGTAGGGTTTTGACATGAAATCTAATTTTTCCCCCCGAGACAGGGGTTTCCCTGTAGCTTTGGAGTCTGTCCTGGAACTCACCAAGTAGACCAGGCTGACCTTGAATTCACAGAGTTCCGCACGAGTGAGTGCTAGGATGAGATAGGGTTTCTCTGTGTAACTATCAACAGCTCTGGCTGTCCTGGAACTAGCTCTTGTACACCAGGCTGTCCTCGAACTCAAAGATCCACCTGCCTCTGCCTCTCTAGTGCTGGGTGTGTGCCACCACCGCCCGGTGAAATCTAATTTTAAGAGGCCAGGTATGGTGAAACATACAATAATCCCAGCACTTGGGAGTCAGAGGCAGGTAGATCTCTGTGAGTTCAAGACCAGCCAGGCCAGCTAGGGTTATGTAATGAGTCTCAGAGTAAATAAATATCAGTTCTTTCACACCTAGTTTGTAATGCACAAGATAGGAGTTTCAAAATACCTGCAACAGTAATCAAGTGCCTCATAGTTGGTTTTAATTTGTTTTTCTTTTTTGGTTCTGGGAGCAGTGGCTAGTTTTGAAGATCAGCCTGGTCTACAGATCACAAAGATCCGCTTGCCTCTGCCTCCCAAATCCTGGGATTAAAGGCATGTATCACCACCATCCAGTATATGTTTTAAATAAATGTCTGGATCCTCAGATATTAGTAATAGCTAGCAGCCCTTGAGTTCTGATATACACAAGGAAACACTGATGTTTAATTTACTGTACTTTTGAGAGTATTGTTTTGAGAACTCTATGTAATCCCAGCTACTTCTGCCCTGACCATTTGTTCTGTTATCAGGTCTGTTATAGATTATGAGTGCATCTATTGATATTACCTCTAAGTTCAGGTAGAGAGATGGCTCAGCTGTTAGGAGACCTACCTGCTCTTCTAGAGAACCTGGGTTCAATTCAGCACCCACATGGCAGCTCATAATTGTCTGTAACTCCAATCCCAGGAGGTTGCCAGTATCCTCCTCTGGCCTCTATGGGCACCAGACACCTGGTGCACATCCATGCAGGCAAAACAACAACAAATTAAAAAAAAAATCTCTAAATCTATATTGTGGATGTAGAAATTTCAAATGCCTATATTCTTGTGATAAACATACTACAAATAAGTTCTGTGCCCTCTGTTTACTGAGGGGTTGCCCTCAATCAGGTCCGAGGAGAACTTCTGGCAGTTGGTCATTTACTTCCATCTACCAGGTAGATCTTGGAGACTGAATTTGGGTTGTTAGGCTTTGCAGCAAGTATTTTTGCTCACTGAGAGCCATGTTGCCAGCCCCAAATCAATAAAATTCAAAATAGTTTTGAAGACATAATACAGGGTTACTAAACTTATTTTGACCAAGAATGATAGACTTAATCATTCATAAAACTTAATATTTCATAAAAATATCTCAGCATCAAAGGAAAAACTGCATCTGTGTAGAGCAGATATTTTGAACATTTCAGTCTTGGCATTGTCAGAAGCTTGACATAGTCCTATAGTATTTGGGAATCACTGGTGAATATTACCTTCCTTTGTGATGCTTCTTCCTAAATAACAAACTATTACATTGTATCTTTAAGTATCAAACAATCTGGAGCTATATGTAGGGGAAAGACAGATTACTTTAGAGCCATGTGCATTATAATTTAGTAGTAAGCTTGTTAATTTATTCACTAATGTTCTATTTATTTTTTTATTGTTTTTAGCATGCATGCTATATACAATCCATAATACATTTGATGACATTGAAAATAAAGTGGTTGCAGACCTAGGATGTGGTTGTGGAGTACTTAGCATCGGGGCTGCAATGTTAGGGGCAGGGTAAGTGATCATTTCTTGTTATTTGGATAGGGTGTGGCTTCAGTCAATGTATATAGGATCAACTGCACTATATATTCATAGGACCCAGGTAAGATGAGGGGAGCAGTAATTTGATACTGAGTACATTTTGAGTAGGCTAAATATCAAAACTTTACTTTTAAGAAAGATATCAAGTCAGATGGTGGTGGTGCAGGTATTTATCCCAGCACTTGGGATGCAGAGATATATGGATCTCTGTGAGTTTGAGGCCAGCCTGATCTACAGAGCGAGTTCCAGGACAGCCAGGACTACACAGAGAAACCGTGTTCAAAAAACAAAACAAAACCCATTTTGTTAATTGGGTTGAAAACTGCATGGTAAAATAAGTAGTTTTTTTTTTTTTAAAACTAGGAACCTGTAAATTGTCTTTTTTTTT